ATATATTGTCTCATAGATCTAACTTATGATTCTGACATCTCGCCAGTACGATGTCATCATAGCAGTAACAAGGTTTAACAACCATTGCGTCGGGCACTGACAGTTTGGGCGAGCTCAGGCTGGATCATGGTTGGCTGAGCAAGAGAACAAGGCTTCTGGTCAATATTACTTCACTAAGGTTACAAAACCAATGGTCTTTAAGCACTGAAAGGTTTTGCAGTGTGAGGTATTTTGAATTCTACCTCAGGGCATAGACCGATATGGGTCACGTCACAAGCACAGATAAAAGAAAATATCTGGTATTTCTTAAATCCTAATTAATCGACGGTTATCATTACCATACTTAATTCACAGCCTACTGAAGTCTGTCCATAATTTACTGCTATCAAGTACCCATCCAAAAGTCGAAATGTAGGAATTACACCTTTTTTCACAAAGGAAACTACTCGCAAGGTTGCTGAAAAATTTTCGGCAGCCCACGACCGGTTTGGGCTCAGCAGATAGGAGCAGTCCCCAAGTTTCCGTCAACCTTATGTTCTACTTGAACCCGAATTGCACTGTTTTCGAGAAATATACTCATTTGCAAATCAATTTGGGACTGCACTAACCTGATGAGCCCCAAGAAGGGCAAACGAGGTCGTGAGCTGCCGAAGAGTTTTCAGCAACCTTTGAGTAGTTTCCTCTATGGAAATATACTGCGACATCTCGAATATCGTGCCAACTGAAACATGAAGTGGTCTTTATGCAGCATATTCAGTTGTAGAATATCATAAAGGAGATATTCAGTTGAGTCTCTTGTTGAAACCAAGTTGGTTTGCAAATGGGTGTATTTCTTGAGAAATTACACCTGTTGCCAGTGAATCACTGGGGTATGAATATTGGTTTCCCATGTTACATACGAATCTTATTACCTTTTAAATAAACGGAGATGTCCCATCACAGATCGGCTGCTGGAATTTACATCAATTTGAGTGCCAGATTTCTTGTTGTCGAAAAATCTTGCTGAGTTAAACGACAAAATGGTTGAATTCGACAGGAGTAGCTAGTCAATTTGGTTGACATTGAAAGCGAAACCGATGGGCGTTTGACCTGGATGTCAGACGTATTTCAAGTGAACACATACTTGGCACAGTCATTTAAACCAGCAAAATTTCGAATAGGTACCTGGATTTTTGAACAACGAGGCTTTCTTGAAACACCGAACTAGTGTTTCAGCGCAATGGTGATGGCGTAAATTTGTCGATTGACATTCCCGCATATCGACTTCGGTTAGTTCTGCCCAGATAGTTTCCAAAAACAAAAACTCTTCCATCCGTTTGAATTTTCTATTTTATGATATAACAGCGCGTTGAGAAGACGTCATTCCGAAGAATGGAACATTTCGTCTGGGACGAACCTCCACAGTTCAGCTACATGAATAAAAGAATAGACTCAATACACTACTCATGAGGTTGCTGAAAATTGTCCGACAAATCACCAGGCAGGCGCAGTTGCCGAGTTTTCTCCAAACTATTGTTCTACTTGAACCTAAAATTGCACAAAATTGGCGAAATACACTTATGTGCAAACAAATATGCTGTAAGAGTCACTCACCTGGGACCCATCTGAATCCATTTCTAGCGATCTACAGCTTCTTAATGCCACACAAATAAAAAGTAGCCCCCCCGTCACACCTTGAGGCGCATCTAAATTACTGAAATGTTAAAACGGATGTGAATAGGTTGGAATAGCCAATACTTTCAATGTTTCAGCATCTTGACTTGGAATACCAGTGAACAAACATAGAGCTATGTGGCTTCACAATATTTTCTACAGTTTCTGGTAATTTCAATGAATTTCGCCACATCGGCGAAAATTTTTACTTGAACGTGTCCAATAATTCACAACGTACGACTGAATAACATTCACACAGATTATGACGTTGCTTCCCATTGGACCATGTTTTGTTACGATTCCCTAATAAGAACCCCTCTTACGTTAACCTAGCTTTTAGAACTACAACTGGGTGTCAAGCTGTGCAAGCTTACCTGGATGACAGCACCTCAGTAGGAGATAATAAAAGTTCCCAACAAGCTACTGTAAACAAAAATGGTCTCACAGACATTCCAATGCCACTGGAAACATTGCACTGAGACAAACCACCTATCCAGTTGAAAAGAGTCTGTAAATTTTACCTTTTTGAATAACATTCAGAACGGTGATAACGATGATCATATCTGTTCCGAATTAGATGAAGTTCTAAGGAGTGGCCATTGCTTTCAACGTTTATTACGGTTAGATTAAGATAGAATACCATAGCAATAACATGTTGAGATCTTGAATACTAGACGTTTCAGCCACCGCTCGTGACTTCCATGGGCGGGATAACTAGGTCACCTGCATTGGCCGAAAAATCAAACAAATAGGAGACCGAAAACAGGCAATTCATTTGGTGTTACAGTGGAATCTTGAGTTAAAACCAATGTAATTTGTATATATGCTTAAATTTCAGTTACTCATACGGTTGGTAGAAGCTAACATCCTGTCAGGACGCGCCCGGATGTGGAAAAAGTACATGTGCAGAGAGTGACGCATCACCAAGGTCACTACCGCTACGACACATCCGCAAAGCAGGCGCGTTGACGGAACTCACCAAACATGGCTTAGCAACATAAGACCAGTTGAGTGGGCCTGAAGGTGTTCATGACCGGAACGTCGCCACTGGCTGTGAACAAATGAACCACCATATTTGGTCATTTACGCAGAAGCTCTGTATGTTTTGTCCTGACAACACAGCCATGCCCCGAGACCTCTGTCTTCCCCTTATCTCGTAGTCTGGCAGACTCAGTGCAGGCATAACCAATAGACGGCCACCCACGATACAATACATCCACACTCCAGTGGTGGTCTCTCCCTATTGGGGCTAATCGGAGAAGTGTAAATTTTAGCTCTCCTACCAGCCTTATTTCGTATTTGAACATCAAACAGGACAGGTGGGAAATCAAACACTTATTAGAAAACTAGCTCATTATAAGATTACGAGTCAGATGAAGCTCTAGTAAGGTTGAAGGGCATCATTAAAGAAGCATCAGCATGATGTTTATTTGAGCCCAAGTCTAGCGAATGAGTGTTTCATTTCGCTGTGACCAAACAGATGCAGCTATTTTTACCAAAAAGACAAAGCTGGTAATGTGCTGTGCAGTAGTTCCCATCAAATTTCTAAATCGCGCCAACTCAAAAATGCTTTGATATTTTAAATGCCAAATAAATTAAAATGCAGCTTGCAATATCCTTGGTTAAAAAATTTCATAAAAACTCTGTTGTTTGTAACATTTCTGTTTCATTATATCATCTGGCTCGGAGAAGTTTTCAACCCCAAATAAAGTTAAGGCACTTAGGATTGGAACAAATCTGCGTCAAGGCGGTTACTCGACTAACACAGTTAGAAGAATGGATACCCATTCGTAGTTTCCTGATCAAAAGCGTCAGGATTTGGTCTTTACAGCATTCCCCTCTTAAACAGTTGACCACTAAAAGCCACCTTTACAGGAAAGTTAACTCAAACTTCTTTCATGACACCCATAAATTGAGTTTACACTTCCGGTCGGAGCCAAGTATGGTGTCAGTCCTTTCACATGGAAAACTAAAAGTGAATAATACGTTTGTAAGAGCAAATATGTGGTAAATTGATCTGAAAAGGCTCTAAGACGAAAAGGGTAAGAAAATATCATCATAATTCTTTTCTGTGAGGGAGAGACCGCATGAGACGGCATTATTATGTTTACACCTCCCACACTTTTTGCTTTTCAGATGACTAGATGAACAACGTAATGCGTCAGTAGATAGTGAACTTTACTGAGGAGCATTGTAATCCCATTTTATCCATTTGGATCTTATAAATGGAAGGGCACATCGCCTGAAGTAGTGGCTTGTTCTTTTTAGCATGACAATAACTTAGCTTAGTCGAACTCACTCGAAAACTGTAGGCTTTGTTTACCATGTATATAAATCAGCAGCCATATTTCATAGTGCGCTGTTGTCCGTAAAAAGCGTCTTTTTATTGATTCTCCTTGTGTTTATCGCGGTTAATTTCGAAGAGTATTTGCTTGGTCCTTCACCTTGACGAATCATTTTGACGTGACTGATTTCACCCCTGTGTAAGTGAACAAGAGTGTGACGGTTGTGGTTTGGCGGGACCGCCGAAGCTAGGATCAGTATGGAAGATTGATGTCGAGATAAAACAGGAAAGCAAAGATGTGTTACCCTTAACGCGGAAGCAAGAAGTATGCCTCCCGGCGGAGCAGTAAACTCTCTTCACTTTTTATTGGACACCTGCAAAAACCAGTCGGGAATATAATCAAGTGCATAAGTTACCTCATGCAGAGTACAGTGACTTCGTGGCCCGTCCCTTTAGGCGATAACACTTTCAATGTTTTTCTTAGATTAAGAATAATGGAGTCGGCGTTGTCATCGCTCTGGTCTGACCATCTTTTGAAAAACAGATAAGCAGGAAGTTTGAAATACTCTTCCACTGCGGTATCTTAACTCCCAAGGGAGTATATGCATTCCGCTTCCCCCTTAATGTCAGTTGAAGTTATGTTGTATTGTTCAGAAGAAAACCATCTCCATGGATAAACCACTACAGGTGTTGAACTCTGTTAGCCATGGAATCGGTCAGGTGCACACAGCGGGTGAAATCTCTGTGCCATATGTACAGTGCAGCATGTTTGGGCATTCGAGACTGATTTATGGATAGCCCTTAACCAACCGGTTAGAACACAAAAATAGAAACCGTAAACAAATTTTCAGAAAACGGGGTCCATAAAGCTGGTACGATCATGTGCACGTGCACACCAAACCAGATCCTCTTCAATGGGTAGACTAATTGGCTGTTGAGGGATGTAGGGTTACGCGTCAGTTTGCCTTCCTGCTTTCTGACCAATCAAAAGGCAGCTATGTCAAGCGATATCATTGATTATTTCCACAGGTGACGTCGGCGAATCAAATGCAACGGTATCTCGGACAAAAACAACACTTGATTAGTGTGTGGTTCAAGCTTAATTAGACTAGGAAATAGGCAGCTTTATGAACCGAATAAAGTGAAATTCATTCAGTAGAATTTGTGTGTTAGTACAGGAAATTCGAGAATGCACGAAGAAGAGGAGCGGCGCCTTCTGGAGAAGTTTCAACGAATGGATAAGGATAACAGTGGGTCTCTCAGTCGAAAAGAAGTAAAGCAATGTATGAAGTCTTGTGGATTTGATACCAAGTTCATTAATGTGAGTCTTAAAGCTTTATGGTTTTGTTTTTCCAACGTTTATGTGGCAGAATTAGCTGAGTTCAACTGCTCTGAACAACAATATATATACTAGGAAAATTTCAAGGGACATTGATTTGGATTCAATAAGACTTCAGTTCGGCCGTAAGAAGAATGTCTTTATATATCATCAAAATCTCACAAGAGTCTTCATTCATTATCGTACACAACAGTCACCGTACAACAGAAAAATATATATTGATAGTTATATTCAATAGGAAAACCCAGCAACTTATTTGGGTGCCGATCGAAATCGATTGTCAAACCGGGGATCATGAAATGTTTATGAAAAGTTAGTCGGTGGATTGTGTTAGATTGTTTCCTTCGAAAAACACAACAGCTATACTAAAGAAACAATATAGGTTCAGAACGCCTCTGTGAGGTACATCCGGTTTAGGACGCATAGCCATCTTCGTTTTTCAATGCGGCGTTTGCAGTCTGCCATCCGAAAGGTATTAATGGTGAAGTACAATACTTCACGCATTCTTGGGGAGTCACTAACGACCTTTGAAATCTTGGGCTTCTCGGCATCTTTTGTCACCTTTCCGAGACCTAAAATAATTTCATGAAATTCTCTATTTTTAACTAAATATTGCCATTACTACCGAACTTTTTGGTGTTCAGACTAGAGTTGTTGGCTGTCACTGCTGTCAACAACAAGAGAACATTTCTGCAACTCACATGAATCATGTCTATCGATGTTAGATGCCAACCCTTTTTAATAGATGAGCAGTGGTCCAACAACAATATCAATCTAATCCCAGATGAAAAAAGAAGATATACACTAATAATTATTTTGATCTAATTAAAACAGGTAGAAGAATCTTGATCAGAGATTTAAAAAAACGAAAGATAGTCTCTGATAGACTGCTCCCCAATCACAGTTCGAATAAGCTAGTTGAGTGAGGAACGCAACACAACGGCCGTTCCTTTTTTCACACAATCACGTCAAAAAGATTTCGGTAATTTTACAAAAGTTGGAATTGTTCATGTGATTTTCCACCTTCAACGGGGGTTTTGCGAAAACATTCTTGCAACAAAGACTTTCCACGGCCTGAATGATAAGAAATACCATAGGACTGCTACCTTAAACTGATACTGGATGGACGGTATTTGGGACTTAATTTTTAACAAATTGCTGGGAATGGCGATCTCTTCTTTTTCGACCTCGACCTTTTATTGCGTCCAAGAACTCCCCTAACAGGCAATTTTCGCCACAAGTTAGCATTCCTTTGCACACTGCACTTCATTGCTCTAGTTAGTTTTACCGCTTTGCTAACCGTTCGTTCAGTGCGCAATTATTCCGTTCGACTGAACCAGTTTCTCTGTAAAAATGCCTTACAGAACCATCCCTATATTGTCTTTTAAGACACTTCGGGTATGTCATCTTTAACTGATCAGTGTCACACGAATCGTTTTCTAAGTCGTGATGGGTTGAACCTGGAATATTCCAGATTCAATCGTTTTGGTTATCGGCATTGCATCTTGTCTAGCTTTGTTCTGTGAAAAAATGTTCCCCTGAGGCGGAACATTTTGACTTTAGTGGATGTATGTGCTAGCACAATTTGCGACGCTGTTAAAGTCCGTGGATGGAACTACTGGTAGAATAGAATGACGTGCAAAGTGACTGCTGCTCGTCAGCTACACCTACGATGAGCTCGTTATAGGTTTTTTAGACTGAATCATGTGGTTTCCTTTTCACTCATGGAAAATAAAAACTCGTGCTTCACCACAGTCATAACCGACGATCCCTACCCAGTGGCTAGGCAGCTGAAGCAGTCAGCACACAAATCTATTGGGCTGATGGGAATGCACATCAGCGTATAGGAGAGATCTTGCTTTTCATGTAGCCACCTGGGATAGCTAGTATAAAATACTTGCCGACAAGCACTACTTGTTCACTCGTTCAACTTCGCGTACGTAGACTTTGTGAAAACGGTTTGATTTGACTGTGATCTGGACATTAGATAACCAGTGATCAAGCAGTAACAATCAACCTAAGGAAATGTCAGTCATACATCGGGTGGAAAAGGTTCAGTTCTGGCAGAAAAGCGTGAAGCAACGTTTCAGAAACCCAAATATCGGCCATGTTAGAGAAGTGGTTACTCTAGTGGGGATAGTAACGAACAAGCATTACTGTATACGTATACGGAATATTTGGCAGAACAGACTACTTACAGTTGGGCATGGCATTAGTCTGTGTCCCTGAATAGCTTATTCTGTCGCCAGTTTACCGCTGTTCTGCTTCCGTTCAACTAACCATCTTATATATTCACTCCAGAAAAATATACGGGGGTTTGATATCCTGGTAACAAAGCTTAACCGAATGATCATCCAGATAAGATTGTGCTTTTTTATAGCCAAAAATTGAAAGATAACTAAACAAATTGTTTTGTGTTCATCAAGGCTCCTTTGCGGGTCTTGCGCCAGCTAGGACAAAAAGCGAAATTCCGTAAGTGATCGTGAGGTCCATATCAATATTATTATACTTATTGTGATTGTTGTGATTGGCAGCACCCAAATCGTCAGTTCTACCGGTTTTGCAATGAGTAGCAATCAGATTATGTTCGAATGCGCTTTTTGACTCATGTTTGGTGACTTGGTGCGCTGCATTATCCCTCTGCAACAACCACATAAAACTCATGGCTGAAGTTTAGCGAAGCCAGCGTGATTTCGAGCGCGAATTGGGATGGTATTAGTGGTACGCTTGCGTATGTACTCCAAAAATGGGTAGGCCCTATAAGTACCTCAACCAATAAGCTGAAGTTAAACGTTCTAGCAGCCTCTCTTCAGTTTCCCCCAGCTCGAGCTCATTGGGTTGGCAAAATTCCCAAAATCCAGTCCCTGTATTATGGTTTACTGATACCATTATACTGAATTCTTGTTCATGCATCAATTGAGCGAAACTTTGTTAGTTGATAGAATAGGGGTTACATAGCTGCACTACAAAGACGGTATTCCAAATATTACTTTTCTACCACCTGGTTGCTCCCTATTCTTTCAAATGATTCAAAATGTATACCTTGCAGTATGAAAGTCACAGGAATACTTTGGTCAAGTTTAATTACACCTGAGGGGGGTTTCAAGCTTTGAAATCCCATCCAGCTTGAAAATAATTTGAAAGTCGCAGAGCAAAAAACACTTTAGAAACTTTGTAAGTAAGGTACTGCTGAATGCAACTGATTAGTTTTGTAGCTCGTTAGGGTATCTTGCCATAAACTTCAGACTTTTACTATCGCTGGTCAAGAGGCAGCATAAATGACCTGCTACTGGCATTCCTGAACAAAAAAGTTGGTGAATACACACCGTAATTTTGCACAAGATGTTTGTTCAGCTTTGTAAAAAAAATCAAATAATGCTATGGTTAACCATTTTGGTTGCTATTCCGTAATTCATCGTGTAAAACGTATGGATGATTTTTCTCGTGACTTGTTGTACTGTTGAATACATGTTATTTCACAGTGAGGAGTGTGATTATAAACAAACGCGTTCTGATTTCTCGTAGCGAACCGGATGTAGCTTCGTTAAGCGTTACTTTTACGAGTAAATTGAAGGAAATATCTATTTTGGCCATTAGTTGGTTTGTATCCAAGTGAGACTTCCAAAATGGATCTGTTTGCAGCCACCAGATAGTGCGGTGGGTTTAAAATTTCACTCACGTTATTATCCCACAGATTCAGTCAGTACAGTTAGACGGCTGACAATCGGCAGATTATGTAGCCTTTCGAGTTTTTACCTCTTCAGTAATACTTAATTAAGTTAGCGATCAAGAGGGGTAATCACACGAAGTTGCTCTGGAGAAGCGGCCCTCATCAACTGCATTCTACCTCAAACCTTTATCATGACTTGGAACGCATGTTAACAAAACATTTCCATTTACCTTACAAGTCCCGAAGGACGTAATTCCGTGACTGTTTCTATCGGAAAAACGTATTTAGTCGTTAAAGACTTTTTATGACTAAGGGGATAATTTTAGGCCACGCTAATCGTCTATTTGAACCCATGGTGATTAACCTTGTCAGGACAACTCAAGGCAGATCTGTTCTTCGGTAATATAGCGCCGTCGGCCTTTACATACCGCTGAAACGCAAAAAGCCTCCGCCGAGAAGTTATTTATTGGAAAACACCAACTGAACAGTTACAGACTATTGAACAGGGAAGCAAAACTTTCATTTTCATCGTGCTTATAAAAACTGTGTACGTCTTCTTCTCGAACGAGTCTTCCTGAACTTTCCTGGATACCCATTGACTATCACCCAAACGTAAACTAATACTGTAAGGCGATTCCACAAATTTCGTGATAAATCTGACTTCAATTGAAGCGAAGCGGATTTACGAGAAAACAACGCACTACTCGCATGCCTCATCAGTAGTATCCAGTGTTACACCGTTATTCCGACCGCTGTTTCCTCGCATATAGGCCTCAGTTCACAGCCACTTGCTAGCTGTACTCTTCTAACCGGTCTAGAATTTTCGCCTAATGCAACAGATATTTTCACTAACAAAACAAATTATTCACAACACCGGAGTACCAAACTCCAATTATTTTATTTGAAGTACGTCTGGTGTGATGAGTAGTTCATGGCGGACTGGCATGATGTATCAGCTTCCAGAGTTCATCCGATTAAGTCCCGCATGGTTCTCAGTAAGAAGCCAGTCGGTCTTTCGCGTATTTTATTCAATTTAATTTGTGAATGCTTTCGCAAAACACTGCTTATGCTGTACGGTGTTCTCAACTATGGTCAACCATGGAACAAACTACCTAACGAGAAAGTAATGTTTTTCTTAGGCATGTAACCAGAACATTTAGCAATAAACCCTCCCTTCGATAGTATGATTTTAAAAATAAGAAATTTTGACAGCATTACTTCTGGCTCATTATCAATTTTCTCTAGGTTCCCCCGTTCCCAGGTTTTTGGGGTAGTGGCAAGACTGACGATGTTAGCAAAACGACAAAGTGAAATTTGATTGATTCCCCAAGAAGGTATATGCCAGTTTTCTCAAAAGGTTTTGCTCATCAACCCTGGAAATGGACGACTTGACACCACCACTCTCATCACTTTGCGTGCAGTTCGTGAGCAATTGGAATAAACAGGTATTTTACTGCGAGCAATAACGTCTAGCTTGATGACTGATAGATGGATGAGCACAAGCAAATGGACATCACTGACAGCAACTCATGAAAAGTATAAGACTTTCATATTGAAATATGTATAGAGAGCTTAGATGCTAAGAAGGAACCACAGTGAAAACTTTGACCGTAAGCGACATTTTGAAAGCTCAACCAACGAACATAAGACCACCGTATATATTTCATTTATAACTACTCATGTGGCCTTATTTGTATGCATCTCGTACTCGTTTGTTTGGGACTTAACCAATTCTGCTTTCGCACAACAGGTGCTCATGGTCAAATTTAATTCATTTACTCAGAACACCTCAAAACTACGCCTCCTCATGAAACAAACAGCTATTTGATTTCCATTTGAAATTTCGCTCCGTAAGGGAAGGCAGTTTATGCCAAAGATTCTGTACTGTACAACTGCACCGTACAACTGTTTCACTTTCACTTGCAGTCCTAAGTAGTGCGCATCTCCCGTAACTCAAAAGGTAGCTCCAGTGGAGAATTTCAAAACAGAGATGAAATTTCCACCCGAGAAGTCACTACTATGGGTACTACGTGTCCATGCGATGTGGTTTGCGTGATTGAAGGAAGAGTGGCTTTCTAACCTGTCCAAGTGTGAGCTATTCAGTGTTGATCAGCCGTTCCACCTACTAACCGGGATGTCGATGAGATGAGACTCTCTGAGTTTCGTGAGATGCGCACTGCTGATGATTCGCGATGTGAGAAAAACAGATATTCATTGCTTACAGGCTTTTCAGCACAGAGTGGTTTCCCCTACAGGATAAAATCTTAATTAAAAATGACCAACTCCCCTCAACCTGCCATCAAGTTTTGACTCTATCACTTTCAAATACTTGATCTCCATGGCTTAACGCTTTACGCCTTAAAAATGCAGGTAAATCTAGCTGATCGATTTTGCGTTTCTATGGGGTTTTAGTTTGCTGGCAGAGGTTGGTATAGTAGGATGCACCTTGTAATAGTCTATTACATTTTACCGTTATCAAGAGGTGTGACTTGAAATTGCTTATTTAGAAGGTCTTAGCCACAGTATTTAACTTTTGAAATACAAACATAGTCGTAAATACGATGAAGAGTACATTCAGGAGTGTTACGTTTTCACTTTGGTTCAACATTGCTTGATAATATATAGTTAGATTGTGTGAATGAGACGTGGCTTGCTGAACAGCAAAACAGATTTCCTAGTGAGGAAATTATAACAGATCAACAGTTGCACCAGAATAAGTGACGCCAAAGTCTGCGAGTGTTTTCTAATGATGTCGGAATTGATGCGCTGCTTTCGGTTAGTTTCCACTTCAGTAAAAGAGAGGATATTTATGCATGTCCTGGTGACGACTACCCTTGAATGACCAGGTCCATGAGCATCTACTCAAAAGAACAAAATGGAATTTTTAGAAATGGTTTTGTACACTAAAACGCTCACTGCCAAAGGTGTACAGTTTTGAAAAGAAAACAAAAGTACGTTACCGATGAACCATTTAGGATCTTCTGTGTTTGCGTACTGATAACTACGAAAGCATGATTTATTGAGCTATTTCGTAGGGTGGAGACCCAGATGGGCGGTATCTTGTCTGACAATCTAACACAAGCTGACCAAGTGAGTCTTGAAGACGGCTCAAAAGACTTTTTTTAAAAACGTAAATTGGTTAACAGCACCAAAAATAGCTGGGATGGACTTACTGCTTGCTTGAATCCAATTACAGCGTCCGATTTCTCCCTTTCCTTCCGAAAGACAGGACTCCTGTTTTGATCAGCCGTGGACACAACCAAAAAACGCGAATGCTTGTTCACTCTGAACAGCCGGGATATGAGTCACGAGTACTTCGGCGATTAATGACAGTTTTGGATATTGGATCCATCATCAAATGCCAACATAAACATTCAATATGGCTGGACCCAAAAATGTGCATTCACCACATATTTCCTGATTTCAGGGCACCACAAAAAACGCGAAACACAAGCCTGCGATTCTCGCACATTACACATATCTTCATTGTGTGTGGTCATTCATCATTCCGCCAACCACTGATTAAAGCGATCTTGATGAATTCATAATTTCTCAAGTTAAAATTTTACTAGACGTGTACTTATGCACTGGTTCAAAGTTTGGAAAAGTCACTGAACAACAAAGCTCTTAGATGAAAAATAATTCTGTCAAGCTCGTATGCTAAATCTAAAGACTTAGTGGAGTCTAAGTCAGTCAGTAGCATATAGCATAGGATTTTGAGTAATCGCTCGATGCCACTAATGCCAAACGAAAGTGATTTTTCGAGCAGAATAACGGAATCTAAAGACTACCTTCAAACTGCGAATCATGCGGGGAAATATCAGTAGACTGTGGAATACGACAGAACACTTTGAGTCTCAGCTCCGACATTTTCCTTGAGTATACCAATTCATGAATAAAAATTCAGCCAGGTGCCTGCTCAGGTCCGAGGCTTTCGGAGCCTGAGAGAGGACGAAACCTACAGTTTACGTTCTGTGAATTTTGAGCAATCACCCAAAACTTACCATGTTAAAAGTACTCTCCACCATCAAGTGTGGATTTTTAAGAATATTGTGTAATCAGCCGCTTAGACTGAAAACAAGTTGCTAGACCACCCAAATGCTGTGAGAAGACCGTAAAACAATGAAAGGATACCAAAACTTAAAGGAAAAAAAGAAAAGTCATTATTCTCTGACGTGCTCAAAAAGCGTGATAATAATCTTCATTTTGATCGGTTCATCATAGAAATCAGCTATGACCCGATAACCTTAGATTTCCAGATCACTAACATCAAACTAGAAAATTGAAATGGACAACAATTCCTCCACAAATAGTTGTCCTCACGATTATTTTTCGGTATAGGATGACTGAGAGTCAAACCGCATCCAGCTGGATAACGCAATTGTTGAAACTTCTATTCCAGGAATTTATCAAAACATTCGATCTGGATGGAGATGGGCAAATAACACTCTCTGAATATCAGCGTGTTTTGAACATTCTACCAGCACATGAAAAGGAGTAAGTTCGCCGTTAAACCGTTAAAAAGCATCTGTCCAGCACCGCACATTGGAATGCTGTCAAAATAGAAGTGTGTTGGTTAAAATACGCAAAATCTCTAATTTTTCGGTATTTCGCTTCACTCACTTGGCAAAAGTAGTTAGTTATTTAGGAAATATTCGCATTTCTAAAATTTTACGATCAGCAGCCATGAACGGTCTGCATATATTGGACCACCAACTTAAGTCTTTAGAAAAGTGACAAACTCGAAAGTTATTAGACGCTGAGCAACCTTATCTCGTATTGTTAAGAAATATAGGTGCGGTCGCAGAACTTAGATTTAATGCCCTGGTGAGAGATATTGGAATCTCTGAAGGGGTGGTCGTTGATAAGGTCACTGATGCCATCTTTCCTGTCTACAGTGGGAATCAAAATGCTAGTTTCGACAAATTTCGTGCTATCAGTTTGAGAATGTAGCATCCACTACGCCTCAAAGACTGAGTTCTTTGAATAAACAGCTCACCAATAAAGAATGAGTCCGGATTCCACTGACGTCAGATCTGAATTTTCTGCGTGCCACATTCAGGAACACTATCGCAGCTACGTCAAGCACCCGGAATTTCGATCTCCTTCCATCTGACAAAGTCACCAGAAAACTTTCTTAGAACTGCCATATAAAAACGGCAGTACTCAACGCGTACTCACTTAGGAAGGATGGAATGCTTGACAAACCTCCCATGCTTATAATCGTTTGTTGCGGTTTTTAAAAAAATATGCTCAATGTCACATTTGTAGGCATGGATGTTGCTCACTCATGGCGAAGCGGAGGCAATTCATTACGTGCAATATGGGTTCGACACTGCTCAACAACAACTGAGTTAACAAGACATATGAGCCCATTAGTTAGAGACAGACACAACCTGCAGTTTTGAGTTGAGTTTCCGTGCAGCAATTTAAAACTCATTGACACTAGACTAGCATGTCCATTCCACCTTTACCGTTGTTTTTATGAGGCTACACTCATATTGACCGAGCTTCTTCCGCGCCACTGATCCCGAAAACGAAATAACCAAACTCGTTGTCAGACGGCGGCTTTTTCAGCCTGTACTTGCATCACCGGCAAGGTATGAGCTTATCAACGAAGGAAAGAGTGCGTCAAGCTTATCTGTGAATAGACAATATAAGGCTTATTTTATTTCATCAGCAATGATCACGACACGCAGTGCGCGTATGGAAGAAACAAACAACGGGCAGCAAAATTCGGCATACATTCTGGGTAGGGATTGTGGACACTGTCTTATGATCGTACTTTTGACATGCGTGCTAGTTAACATTAATAAGACACGCTGTTTGGATATCCACTCAATAGCCTCCTGGGCGAGCAGAAAATGGATGTGGAAGCAGTGATGCAAGGTCGACAACTAATGAGGGAAGTCACGAAAACAACCTCTCCTGGATCCTCATAACCTTCTGGATAGACACTTGTATAAGGACATATTCAGAAGTAGACTAGAACTGGAACCAGAGACCCATATACTGTGATATTTCATAAATGTTTCTTTGGTTAACTGGTTAACTTCTTTTCTCAGCTTTCTTGTTGCAAAAAGCAGGCGTACTACCATTTACTGGCAAACTTCGCACCAGCAGTGTTAAGGTGTACAATGCTTGTGATTCCCAGCAAGTACAAAACAGCTGTACAGTGCCTTTCGGCTTTTTACTATAGACATAGGCACAGACCGGCCTCATGGAAAGTACGAAGTCCCTGTAGAATGAGAAGCAACCCAGCACCACTTGTTTTGAACGTACAAAAGTACAAAAAAGAGCAATGTTTTTCCATTTCATCCGCAGTTATTCTAGTTGATCACTTGTGGAATGAAGATTAAGTGATTTCGACATTCTTGAATTTTCCATTCCTATGTTTCAATGCGAAAACAAAATGAGCTTTTCCGTCTATTCCTGATTCGTGATCGTTGGCTGACGCTGACAGTGAACACTGCTGCACTATATGTGTCTCGGTTATCCACACCCTTCCATTTTACGTCCACATGAGAGAGAAACCTAACACGTTCGATAAAAACAAATTGCGAGCTATCGATTCGTGGATGGTGCTTTCTAAGTTTTTACTTATTCTTCTGTATCAGAATGGCTATGTGGCGGAGCGTGTTCAATGACGTCGATGCTGATAAATCTGGGAAAATTTCCTTCGCCGAGCTGCAGAAGCTGATGATCGAAATGGGCTATGAGTGTCAAGCATTGGACCTGAAGGCTTGGATGAGTACCCAAGATTTAGACAAAGACGGCGAGCTGAACCTGGACGAGTTTATTCGGTTTATTAAAAGCACTCCATAAAGGATGTAGACGTCATTGTGAACAAAGCCCATCGAACTCCATTGAACTAACCTAAACCAACCTCAACTAACCGTAAACGGACTTTCAATCGTTTTGATCAGTTTTCCAGTTTCCAGAATCAACTCGATGACACTTGTGTACAATTGCATGTCTACTGTCTGTTTTTGAACTAAAAACTATAAGGTTTCATAGTTTTTTCTTTTATATGTAACAAAACTTCTTTTGGCGTCGGATACCCTACCCTATATGGATACGGTGGAAAATGTTCCATTTTTAGCAGCACAAAATAAACACCGATCACTCGCCCGAGATAAGACACAAAAGGGCCGAGAGAACGCCTGGCAATTGTACACGCATGTACGTGAAGCACGTTGCTCTCTGCCAGTAGACGGTACTTAAGAGAAAGAATTGTACTGATATTAGTTGGGACGTGAGCCACCCGGAATAGAGCAACTTTAGTCCGTCATACAATCCACCCTCATCCCATACCCCACAGCGCCATTCCACACCGTACTACGCTATATTGTATCGAACTAAGCAATGCCATTCTGTACATATATATGGACGGGACCCTTGTCTAGAAAGTGACTGAAGATATCTACCATTTGAAAAAAGTATAAAAGTGGGCCAAAAGAAAGTTATAAATCAAAACTAACACAAATATTGAAGTAGAATAATCCGAAAGTCATGTATTTGTACCACAAACTTGTCTAATTGGAAAAATTAAGGATGTGTGAGGCTAGCTAGTAATTTTGGACATCAAAGACGCATTTGGATTAATGGAAGGAAAAGGAAAATATAATACACTAAGAATCTGGTGGGGACTTTCAAAGTCGGACCAAGAATTACTGACGTTCTGCGGAATGAAATCGTCGACGATACTCACGATTTTATAGTTTGGAGAAATTTTTCTTAAGAACCTGCACTGGATGGGTGATCTATACCTCGTTGCCTTTGTACAAAAATGTTCATTTCTCATATGGTGCCATTTTATACACCCTTTTCTATGGATTTGGAATGATAACTTTGTGCAGGTCCGTCTTCACTCTACCTTGTGTGGGAATTACAGAGCAAGACAGGAAGGAACCATGAAGTTGCAAGTGCTTTGTTAACATCTTTGAAGCGTCCATAAAAAGTGATCAGGCGCCTGAGTTGCCCTAGCTATTCAATAGGTTTACGGTCGTCTAGGCTTTGTGGTGGAAACAAAGCCGAACGAATACTCACATTCTTGAGTGTGCTGCCCACGTAGTAGGACGATAGATGGTTATCAAGAAATACCTTCACAAGTAGACAATATCGATGATTTGAAAGATTAGCACCAGCTAGGGATAAAAATGGTCCAGGTAATGGTTCAGTTGGGGGACACTTGAGTTCACTGCATCCCTAGACTTTATGAAAGGGAACTTAATCAGAATAAGATGAGCACAACTGTATTTTCATGTCTTTTCAATGGATGTAATGTGTTGATCTACATACAGCCAATGAATGGGGGTATGTTTCACAGCTCTACGTCATCAAAGTTAGCCTCGGTTTGATGCGAGTCTGTTTCATCAATGCCTGAAATTGCTCACCGAATACTACTGTTATAAAAGCTGATCAGGAGAACACAGCAAAGGGATTTTTTGTGTATAAAACCGCAGCTTTGTACCCTTATTGGCATCCTATATGCTGTCAAATGGAATGGAAATCACCACCTCATGTAAGAGCGCTTAGAAAGAATCTTTCGCGCTATGACGGGTAATGACGAGTAAAATTCCATCTTGAAACAGCGCTGATTCTGTGAGAAAGCTTACGGAATTTTATGATGGGCATCTGATCAGTTACCTTTTTGAGGTTTTTAATCGTTTTAGGGACAACTACCAAAGTTAGAATGTCCATGCGTCATGGTATCAGTTGCACGCGTTCTGATTCAATCATCTATGACGAATATCTTCCATGCCTTGTGTGGTATCGTGCGTGGCCGTCTATTAGTTACACCTGTACTGAACCTGCCAGACTACGCGATAAGGAGAAGAGAGAGAACTTGGGACATGGCTGTATTGTCAGGACAAAACAGAGCTTCTGCGTAAATATATGGGATGACCAAATGGCCAATTATAGTCGCTCACTTGTTCGTTCTGTGCAACCAATGGCGGTGTACCGGTCGTGAAGAGTTTCAGCCCCACTTCACTGTTCGTATGTTGCTAAGTCGTGTCTGGTGGGCTCCGCTAACACACCTGCTATTCGGAACATGTGGTACCGGTGGTGACCTGCAAATGTGCTTTTCATTGACTGGACGCGTCCTGACACCCTGGTGTTTTGAACTTCCGCAATTCTACTTGCATCGCTGAATGGTTTTGTGTGAAACCTCAATTGTAAATTATCTGCGACGAAGACCTTATTTCCAAACAAAACAATGCGTTTTATTCAGAATTGCCTTCCTACACAAGAGCAAATATAGTAAAGCATTTCCTTTAGTTTTGATAGCAAAGTTCCATGCTGCTACCGCAGAGGGAATATCGCAAGGACAATTGCTTGTTGATCAGGTGGCTGTTGATCTGTTCGCCGAGCTTGGCAATTGGCTTGCAAACGTTTCGTTACCATACGTCCTCGTATGGTGAATCAATACCTCTCCGGCCAATTGTATCACTTCCTGGAACAGCGAACTACAATCTTTCGAAAGAACTATGGAAAAGGCTAAAGCATCTCATCGGTGGGTCGAAATACTCAATCAACAATGCGGGATAATTTTTGGAGAAACTAAAACACGTAAGCATCGATCAGGACGAAATAATGGTTTCATTTGATGTCAGCTCACTATTCACGTCTGTAGATCTCGATTCAGCCAAGACAACTGTGGCCGAATTATTGGACAACAACGACACGCCAACTGGATCGCTGGAGAAGGAAGACCTCTGCAGATTACTCGACTTATGCCTGATCACACATTTTGAGTTCAACGGAGAATATTATGAACAACTACGAGGGACACCAATGGGATCGCCGATTTCAGGATTCATTGCAGAAGTCACAATGCAGAAATTGGAACAAATCGTGTTGCCCGATATAAATCCCAAAATATGGGTTCGTTACGTGGACGATACATTCGTGATCATCAAAAGAAGCGAACTGCAACGAGTAATCCAACTGCTAAACAACGTCTTTGACGACATCAACTTCACAACTGAAGAAGAAAACAACGGAAAACTGGCGTTCCTGGACGTCCTTGTCACCAGATTGCCGAACGGACAGCTACAAACTGAAGTCTACAGAAAGGCGACACATACGGACCAAATCCTCAGCTACCACAGCAACCATCCAAATTGCCACAAACAAAGCTGCGTTCGGACACTTTTCAAGCGGATCGAGACACACTGCAGCACAACAGAATCCAAGATCAAAGAAGAAAAGCGCCTATACAGATTGTTTCAGAAAAATGGATACCCGAGGAATTTCATCTGGAGAACACTCAGGAAGCCAAATACGATCGATGCAACAGGACAAAATGCAAGTAAGCGAGTCACACTCCCGTACATCAAGAACACCGCTGAAATGACGGCAAGGCTCTTACGACAGCACAATATATTGGTCGCTTACAAGCCTGCGAGCACTCTAAGGAGGACACTATCAAGACCAAAAGGGAAATTAGATCCAATGGCGAAGAACAATGTCATATACAGGATCCAATGCAAGGACTGCGACAAACGGTATGTAGGACAAACAGGAAGGAAGCTCTCAGCCAGAATACATGAACACAAGCTCGCCACCAAGAGGCACGATCAGTTTTCCCTCATCTCTGCACACAAAGATCAGGAAGGACACGAGTTCGACTGGAGCGGCGTCTGCATATTGGCTCAAGCAAGAACAAAAAACGAACGCGAATTTATGGAAGCATGGTACTCCACCGAAGAGGCGATCAACAAACACATTGAAATTGATCCCATTTACCAGCCACTAAGAGCGAGAGAACTCCAGAACCACCGAACTTAAAGCTGCAAAATCAACCAGACGAGGAAATCATAAGAGAAGGAGGAAAACATCATTCAAACGGACACATCAATTGGATTGGAGGAAGCGCCCAATCAAAGCACCAAATCAACCGACGGACGAAGGGACGCTGACCGCTACGGTGGAGGAAATAGGGCGGCACAAGCAACCAATCAAACTCAAGAACGTCAGACCACAACGCAATACAACCCGAGGCCGGAGAGAACGAACTACTAAAAATAGAAGGCATGAGGATAACCAATTGACACAAAGCAACGCAGACCACAACGCAACAAAGATCACAAATGGACCAATAGATTCACCAAATTTGTTACACTTTAAGTAGCCAATCACGTCAGAAGATAACAGATAGCCCTCGAATGCTATATAAGCGCACGCAGGCAAGGAAGAAGTACCCACTCAACTGCGCAATGATGATGTCTCCTCGTATGGTGACGAAACGTTTGCAAGCCAATTGCCAGGCTCGGCGAACAGATCAACAGCTACCTGATCAGCAACCAATAAACTCACTCGAGCTACCATTATTTCAACAAATTACTAATCGCAAGGTCTAGTTACATCTGGTTGTAGCGCAGGGTGCACGCATTCAAGTAGTGCCACAGAGTATGATCCTACATGTGTAGTGAACGTATACGCATAAGACTATCCTGCGAAGTTAACCAAGTCTCACATGCTTATTATAATTACACAGCTCATTCAACGGGATAAACATTGCCCTTCTAGAATAATCCCCATAGGACATTCAAGATGTAATGACCATCGTGAACTCACTGTTTAGCTGGTGTCCTAGTTCTGCCTCACTGGAACTGTCAGTTAAAAATGCGCCAAAACACCGGTAGCTCGGTTGCGTGTGTCAGTAGCCCATCAGGTGGTTGATCCGTTGGCTGAACTTGACAGTTAGCTTGCAAATGCTTCGTCACAGATCTATGGGAGATCACCATTGGGTGAAACCATTAACTGCGCGTTTAAAACGTCAGTCCTGTGCCGATGGCAACCAGATAGGCTGAAACACTGCTTTTTACGTTGTGTTGCTGTCTGCTGTGCAAAACGGAAGATGTGCTCAGACGGACGCACTCACATTCTTCTTTGTTTAACCAATATCTCCAAAGTAGCAGACAAACTTAGGGCTGCACACGGAGGTGGTCTGATCAAAGTATGCTTTCCAGCACTCATCGGGTAGTAAGATCATTGGTGTACGCCTCTTCAGGCT